CCTGTCTATTAGATCCTGCTCTGCTTTTGGCTCTTTCTGAGACCAGATTTTTGCTTAGCTTTGCCTTGTATATTGTAAGCAACTCTATATCCTTTGAAGAAAGTCTACTATTATTTTTTAAAGATTTCTGTGACTTGAAACCAAAGTTATAAATTAGCAAGATAACTATAATACACATATTTCAGTCAATAATCATACTGTCAAAATTAAGATTAAATCTTAATAGCTTTAAAAATAGATTTTGGAGCGAATTTTGGGTTACAATCCATTTACATAAAACAGACCAAAGATAAGACTAAAAGTCATGATCTTGTCCTCATTTTTCATTGTTTGCAAACTTAACTGAAGTAATTAAAAATTGCTATTATAATTTCAGTTCTTTTTTCTGGGGGGGGCGGGGGCAGAGTCTTGCTCTGTCATCCAGGCTGGAATACAATGGCACAATCTCAGCTCACTGCAACGCGCCTCCTGGGCTCAAGCAATTCTTGTGCCTATGCCTCCCAAGCAGTTGAGATTACAGGTGTGTGTCACCATGTCTAGCTATATATATATATATATATATTTTTTTTGTATTTTTTGTATTTTTAGCATATGTAGGTTTCACTCTGTTGGCCAGGCTGGTCTCAAACTCCTGGCCTCAAGGAATCCACCCAGCCTCTGCATCCCAAAGTGCTGGGATTACAATAGGTGTGAGCCACTGTACCTGGCCATAATTTCACTTTTATAAATATATTCTTCCATCCCTAAAATGTCAGCTTGTATAATCAGACTTTACATTGTACAAAGCACAACTTAATATGTAAAAATGGCAAAATAAAATTTTGGGTTAAATACAAAATAGCAACACAGTACAGTTTATTAATGGGTGTTTGCATATTTTATTTTTATCATAATTTAACACTACATACTCAGTTTTTCTTCTTTAATGGATTCTAAATTTAAAAGAAACACTTTTCTTTTTATTAAAAGAAAGGGTAGGTTAACAAAAAAAGTTTAGTGGCAGCCACTGTCCCAATGCAGATACCATAGGTATCTGAAGGATTTCAGATTTTAAAGTACTTCATATTAACCCATTAACTCCACTGACATTCCTAAAGTAAGATTTTAAATTAATTTCAAAATATTTTTAAGATTAAAAAGGAATTAACAAAGGTTACAGAATATAACAGTGTCAAATTCAGATTTTTCACTCTGTTTTTAGTCAACCCCCTTCTTTTTCACTTCAAAAAGCTGCTATCATAGCGGGCACTAACTGGCCCCCTTGTTAGAAATCACAGCAGAGAAGCCAATAGTAGAAAGCGGATATGGACACCTCTTACCCAGAATCCAGGCTGTCTCCACAGACAGGTAAGGCTGAAATCAAGGAAAGGGCAGATGACATGGTTGTTGTCTGTGAGCAGGCTAAGATCTACACCTGTTCACTGAGTACATATTGAATTTCCAGGAATGCTAATCAAGTATCTTTCATGTGTCTAAAATCACTGAAAAGCAAAAGATGTGCATAGTGCTCCTGTAAGTGATACAGTTATTATATTTTGAGAGAGCATGAGGGCAGCAGTCAACAGGTGCTTCTGACATGAGATATCCCAGCTGAGTACTTACGGACTATTGCATTTTTGTTTACTTGTATGTATGTTTTCTTTATTCAAGAGAAGAGTTTAAGGTTTTTTGAAAAAAAAATAGGTAGCTGGATTTCTTATGAACATTCGGAAAGTGACAGACAAAAATTTAACATATACAATAATTATTTAATAGACAAAACAAACAGATTTTATGTATACATTGCCATCTCAGTTCTGTGGGACACTACAGAACACCAATCACTAGGTTAAGAATCCGCTGCAAAGTCGAGTAGGAGCCACTAAACCCAAGAATGCACAGACAAATCAGGAAGGCAAACTATTAGTGATGAGTATCATATTAAGCACTATGACAGATGTATGCACTGGTGAAAAGGAAGCATAGAGAAAGGGTTCTTACAGGGCAGATAAGATAATAAAGGGCTCTAGGTAAGAATAAATGGACATTAGCATGCAAACAGAGATGGGGTGGGGTAAAGATGAAGAACATTTAAGACTAAAAAAGTAGACAACATAAAGGTTTGAAGGTGTCTGACCCCCTGATGTATTCTGAGAAGTACAGACAGTTCCATAAAGTCAAGCAAATTAATTCTAGGGAAGAAGGGTGGTAGGGTGGGGTTGGGGACAGAAAGAGAAGCAAAAGCCAGCTCTTGAAGAGTCCCATATGAAGCAAAGTGGCCTTCATGCACTTCAGACTTCTCATTTTTGTGTACACCACCTGTCTTTTCTCTTGGAGGATAAATGAAGGGTCAAATACATAAAAACATTTCTGACATCTCTGGAGTTCTATTAGTGTTATCCTCAAGAAGTAACTATGATGAATGCAGAATGACACAAGATACTGTTTTAAATAAAGATTTAATGGTAAAAAAAAAAAAAGAAAAAAGAAATCACTTTTGCTCATAAGAGGCAACTGCTCATCTGTTCTACTTTTATTATAAGATTGCAGCAATTCATTCATATCTTCAGGCTCTACTTCTAATTCTTGTTCTCTTGCTACTTCCACCACATTTGCAGTTACTTCCTCCATTGAAGTCTTGAAACCCTCAAAGTCATCTGTGAGAGTTAGAATTAACGTCTTCCAAACTCCTGTTAATATTGATGTTTTGACCACTTCTTATGAATCCTGAATATTCTTCATGACATCTAGCATGAAATTCTTTTCAGAAGGTTTTCAATTTGTTTTGCCAGATCCATAAGAAGAATCACTATTTATGACAGCTATACATTACACAATGTATTTCTTAAATAATAAGACTTGAAAATTAAAATTACTCTTTGATCCATGGGCTGCAGAATGGGTATGGTGTTAGCAGGCATGAAAAGAACATTAATCTCTTTGCACATCACCATCAGAGCTCTTGGGTGATTAGGTGCATTGTAAATGAGCAGTAGAATTTTGAAAGGAATCTTTTCTTCTGAGGAGTAGGTCTCAATAGTGGGCTTAAAATATCCAGTACACTATGCTGTAAATACATCTGCTGTCATCCAGGCTTTATTGTTCCATTTATAGAGCACAGGCAGAGTAGATATACCATAATTCGTAGGGCCCTAGAATTTTTAGAATGGTACATGAGCATTGGTTTCAACTTAAAGTCACCAGCTGCATTAGTCCCTAAAATAGAGTCAGCCTGCCCTTTGAAACTTTGAAACCAGTAATTTACTTATCTTCTCTAGCTATGAAAGTCCTATGAGCATTTTATTCCAATAGAAGGCAGTTTCATCAACATAGAAAATCTGTTGTTTAGTATAGTCACTTTCATCAATGATCTTAGCTAGATCTTCTGGATAACTTGCTGTAGCTTCTATGTCAACACTTGCTGCTTCACCTTGCACTTTTATGATGTGGAGACAGCTTCTACCCTTAAACCTCACAAACCAACTTCTGCTAGCTTCCAACTATTCTTCTGCAGCTTCTTCACCTCTAGTCTTCAGATAATTGAAGTTAGGGCCTTGCTCTGGATTAGGTTTTTGCTTAAGGGAATGTTATGGCTGGTATGATCTTCTGTCCAGATCACTCAAACTTTCTCCATATCAGCAATAGGGCTGTTTTACTTTCTTCTCATTCGTGTGTTCACTGGAGTAGCACTTTTAATTTCCTTAAAGAACTTTTCCTTCACATTCACAACTTGGCTAACTGTTTAGTGCAAGAGACCTAGCCTTCAACCTACCTTAGCTTTTGATATGCCTTCCTCACTAAGCTTAATTATTTCCAGCTTTTTATTTAAAGTGAGAGATGTGTGACTTTCTTTCAGTTGAACACTTAGAGGCCATTGTTGTGTTATTAATTGGCTTAATTTCAATATTGTTATGTCTCAAGGAATAGAAAGACCTGTGGAGAGGGAGAGAGATGTGGGGGAAATGGCTGATCAGTGTAGCAGTCAGATATTTACAACATTTTTTTATTAAGTTCGCCATCTTATACAGGCACAGTTTATGGTATCCTAAAACAATTATAATGGTAACATCAGTGATCACATATCACCATAACAGATATAATAACAATTTAAAAGTTTGTAATATTGTGACAATTACCAAAATGTGACACAGAGACAAAAAGTGAGCACATACTATTGGAAAAATTGCACTGATAGACCTGCTCAATGTAGGGTTGCCACATACCTTCAATTTGTAAAAAATGCAATGTCTGCGCAGCACAACAAAACGACACACAAGGTATGCCTGTACGATGGTCAGCTCCCTCTGTGCATCTCTATAGAGTCATCATCCCATGTCACCTCTGTTCATGCCTGTGTGATGATTGGTTGAAATGGTGTTGAATATCATTTCCAGACCTTCCTATACTGTTGCCCTCTGTCCCAATTCCATTACAGATACATAATGCAAATCACTACAATTGACTTAGTAATACTACTAATAAATAATACTGTTTGAGTTACTTTTCATTCCTTTTATTATTTCTTATCTAATGTTAAGCTTTCCTCAGTCAACCTTTAGCAAACTGCTGTGGTATGTAATTATTGTGACTATTCCTATATATTTTATCTGTGCATAATTGATTTAAACCTCCTGTGTTTTGTAATTATTACTTATTTTTCATGCGAAAAACAGTTAACCAGTTAACCATAACACCAGTTCTCCTGAGAAAACCACTTCTCTATTGGTTGGTTCTTTTTATTATGAACATTTTCAAATGAAAATAAAAGTAAAATGAATAATACAAAGAGCTTTCATATATCCATCACCCAGATTCAAAATTATTATGATTTTATAACATTTGCTTCATCTATTCCTTTTTACTTTGCTCAAATATTTTAGCCAAATCTCAACACAGTATCATTTCACTTATAAATGCATCAGCATTCATCTCTAAATAAATTGACATTTTATACAAAAACCACAATGTTGTTATTGTACTTAGTAAAATTAAAAATAATTGTTTAGTATTATCTAATACTCAGCCTATAATCATATTTCCCTACAAGGATAGTCTGTTCTTTAATCTCATGCTCTCTCAGTTTTTTTTTTTTTATCCTGAATCCAGTCCAAATCATCTAATTTGTTTTACTAAACCCTGTTTCCCATCCTTCCATATGTTTTCTCCAACATACCAATTACTTTTGGTTTAATTATCTTCTCCTCTCCCCCCGTGGAAAGAAAAGTACTGTCTTGTATTTTTGGCATTGAATTCTCTGTGGTAAACAATAAGGACCAGAAAAGTCACGGGAGTTTTTGTTGTGTTTTGTCATCTATATGCTCAAGGGTGAACCAGGATTTGCATTACCTGGGCCACCTGGGCCACCAGGACTTCCAGGTTTCAAAGGAACACTTGGTCCAAAAGGTGATCGTGGTTTCCCAGGACCTCCAGGTCCTCCAGGACGCACTGGCATAGATGGGCTCCCTGGACCAAAAGGTATGAAGGCTGTCACTGCATCTCAATTTGCTTTTAACTTTTATAGAAATTGACACCTTTGGGAAAATTTATGGGTGATAAGCCCAATTAACTGGAAACCCCATGCTACCATTCTGTTACTGCTACACATTTTTTTTCAATCCTTCATTGATTATTTTTGTCTTTTATTTTATTGAATAGATAATAAAATCATGGCCGGGCGCGGTGGCTCACGCCTGTAATCCCAGCACTTTGGGAGGCCAAGATGGGTGGATCACCTGAGGTCTGGAGTTCAAGACCTTCCTGGCCAACATGGCGAAACCCCGTCTCTACCAAAAATATAAAAATTAGCCAGGCGTGGTGGCACATGTCTGAAATCCCAGCTATTTGGGAGGCTGAGGCAGGAGAATCACTTGAACTTGAGAGGCAAAGGTTGCAGTGAGCCACTCCAGCCTGGGCAACAGAGTGAGACTTCATCTCAAAAAAAAAAAAAAAAATACAATCATATATGTTATAAAGTAATACTGAGAAGTCTTCCTTCCAACCCATCTTCATCCACTTTGTTCCTTTCCATCCTCTTATGTAACTATTTTTTATTTTCCTTTCTTCCCCCCGCCCCCACCTTGAGACGGACTCTTGCTCTGTCTCCCAGGCTGGAGTGCAGTGGTGCGATCTTGTCTCACTGCAATCTCCGCCTCCCAGGTTCAAGCAACTCTCCTACCTCAGTCTCCCGAGTAGCTAGGATTACAGATGCATGCCACCAGGCCTGGCTAATTTTTGTATTTTTAGTAGCGATGGGGTTTCACCATATTGGCAAGGCTGGTCTTGAACTCCTGACCTCGTGATCTACCCGCCTCTGCCTCCCAAAGTGCTGGGATCCTTCCCGTGTTTCTTACATAAATACTAGCCAATAATTTTTTTTTTAAATTTTCTCTGTTCTTAAAGGAGAAAGTATTATCTTTTGGCTTTATTTGCACTTTACTTATTTTCCTTTATCAATAGACAGAGATCTTGACTTTTTGAAAATAGGTGCCTAGTGTTAAATTGCATGGATATACCATAGTTCATCCCAGTTGCTAGTTGCTAAACTGGATTTTTGCCAATCATTTATTACAAATAATGTCATAGTGAATAATCTTCCAGGCATATTATTTCAGATGTGTTCAGGTATAATAGTAAAATAAAGTGATAAAAAAGGATTTTCTGAATTAAAGGGTAAATGCATCTCTGAATATTGTCAGATTCCTCTCAATTTGCACCATTTTATACTCCCACCTACAATGTATGAGTGTGTTTCCCCACAGCCTTGATAAGTGAGTATGCTGACAAACTCTTGGATTTTTGCTAACCTGATGAAGTAAGTAGGTTTCTAAGTATATTTTTAAACATTTTATTGCGAAAAAGTTTTAAGTACTGCAAAAAATAATAGTACAGTTAACAGCTGTATATCTACCACCCAGATTCTACAATGAACCTTTTATCTCCCTGCCAACGTTTTATTTTTAAAAATTTCAAAAATAACAAAGTAGATGGAACTTTATTGGGACTACTATATACCCATCACTGATATTTTATTATCAACATTTTACTGTGTGTGCTGTGTCACATATCTATCCATCCCTGTCTCCATCCATTCATCTATTTTTGATGCATTTCAAAATAAATTACAACAGCTATATACTTCTCTCTAAATACTTCAGCATGCATAACATAACTAACATTCCATAGCTGTATATTACTTTTCTTTTGATATATAATTCACGTTAAATGAGATGCACAAATCTTAAGGGTACATTTCCTGGATTTTGACAAATGCATACACTTGTATAACACAAATCCTTATCAAGATGTTGTTTTAGAAATTTTCCTTATGCCCCTTTCCAGGCACTCCCTCTCCCATCATCCACAGTGGCAACTATACTGTTGATTTTTTCATCATAAGTTAGTTTGCCTGTTCTAGAACTCCTTATAAATGGAATCATATGGTATGTACTTTCTAAGGCTTCTTTCGCTCAGCATGTTTTTGAGATCCATCCATGTTGTCATGTTTATCAGTAGTTCTTTTCTTTCAATGAAATCATTGAGTATTTTATTATGTGACTGTATCATGGATACCTGGGTTGTGTCAAGTTTTTGGCTCCTACGAGTGAAGCTGTTAAAGACATTTTTTACAATTCTTTTTTATGGATATGTGATTTCATTTTGCTTCAATAAACAACTACGAGCAGATTTATTGGATCATAAGTGGATGCTTAGTTGTATTAGAAACTACTAGACCTTTTTCCAAAATGGTGATACCATTTTAAATTTACACCAAAGTGGATTAAAAATTTCCATTGTTCCACATTTTCTCAAATTTTAAACCCAAAGTGGTTTAAAATTTTCCATTGTTCCACATTTTCTCAAATTTTGGAATGTTGGTAGGTGTGTAAATAATCATATTGTGATTTTAATTTACATTTCCCTGATGACTAATGATGTCAAGTTCTTTTCTTATGTACTTGTGAGCTATTTACATGTTCAAATATTTTGTCCATTTTGAAAAATGGTTTGTTTCTCACTTTATTATTAAGTTGTAAGTGTTATTTATGTATCCTGCATACTGGCACTTTCCTAGATATATGTTTATGAGCATTTTAGCCCTGGCTGGCTGACCTGTTCATTTCCTTAGTGTATTTTGATGAATAAAAGTTTTAATTTTATTGAAGTTTCATTTATCAATTTTTTTTATATGATTATAATTTTCTGTGTCTTGTCTAAGAAACATTTGCCTGCCCCAAAGTTGCCAAGGTATTCTGTGTTTTATTTTATAAGCTTTATTGTTTTAGTTTCTATGTTTAAAACTATTACACATGTCAAATAATTTTTGTTCAGCATCATTTGTTTAAAATAACCCCCTCTCTATTGGATTACTTTGGGATCTGTGTCAGATCAAATAATAATATATGTGTTGGTCTATTTCTGTGCTGTCAATCCTGTTTTATTTATTTATTTTGCTATCCTTAAGCCAGTACCACACTGTTTATATTATTGTAGCTTTATAGCAAGACTTGAAGTCAGGTAATGTAACCCACCAACTTTGTTCTTAAAAAAAAACCCACACATTTCTTTGGCTATATTAGATCCTTTGCCTTTACTCTCAGAGTGGTTTAAATTTGTATGTATCTTACTGTGAGTGAGACTTGCCATCCTTTTATGTGTTAAGGGCCATAGTTTTTTTTTTTCTTGATAACTGCCAATATCCTTTACCCACTTCTCTGTTGTTTCTTCTACTCCCTTGATTTTGAGTTATCTAGTAATGAGAAGGAATAGAACTAGTAAAGCTGACTTGGATTTTTTTTTACTTTCTGATTTGCAAGAAACCTGATTTCCCTGGTCAATGTTTTGGCTCCTAGTGAATAATCTGAACAGGGCCATGCTTCTGGAACATGTTGGATTGATTTCTATTAAAGCAGTAAGACAGCCCAATCCAATTTTAACAAGGCTAGATTGTATTCTGCCAGCAAAAGCCCCAGACTAGCCCAATACAAACTCTTCTTAGATAAGCTCTTAAAAAAATACCTTTCTGTTTTTGACTAAACAATTCAGGCCAGCTGTAAACTGTAACACTCAAAGTTACAAGTTGTGTTTCCCACCAGTTATCTCCCATGGCTGTAGACCTGTAACAACAAAAATTACAGATAAAGATATTCGAAATGATATGTGGCAAATAATCTTCCTGTGGAAGTTACCCACTCACTATATTTTGTCTATATATGTTCTTGAGACACAGTGGTAGTGGTAGTGAAGAAATGCATTGAAGGTTATTTAAACATGAATTTAACAGGTATTTGCCTAATCTTTGGAAGGAAATTAAGATATGGCATTCCCATATCCTCACAAGAGTAATTCTCAGTTATTAAAACCTGAGTACAGTTCTTTAGAGGCTAGAAGAACAAGTGTTTGGGATATTCTGCCCTGTAACTCCTTCATTCTTCAGACATTTATTATGTTCTATGCCAGGTAATACCTGAATCACTAGAAACTGAAATGCATAGTTTCTGATCTTGAAGATCTTAGGGATTGCTCTCTACTGTGAGAAAATCTAGGTGGCATCACCATGAAAGTGATTATCTCAATGGGAACTTCTATGAATATGTGTCACTAATATTTTGGATCAGTAGACTACACTCAAAACTCAGCAAGCAGATCACAATAAAAGTTCACCTACCAAACACACACCAATGACTGGGTATTAAAACTCAGTTACTAAACTGTAGGAAAGGTTGATGCAACACTTTCAAAACAATGTAGTGACCAATAATAAATTAATAAGGCTAATACTCATCATGATATATCTATACGAGGAAGAAAATGTGCTTAAGGTTGAACATTGGAATCACATTATGCAAAAGAGAAAAAAAGATGATTTTGGAAGCATTCATTTTACCTCATATATTACTTTTGTTCAGGGCCTTACCTAAGGTGCCTGGAGAGGTTTTACATAGACGGTGACAGTTGAATTTAGTCTTAAGGGAAAGGTGTTCCAGGCAGCAGGAATAACATCCAAAGGTATTATTGTGACAAATATTGTGTGCTTGGAAATGTGGAAAGAGATACAAAAGTATATAATTTATGATAACAACAAATCTTTATAAGTAAATATGACAAACAACTGCATGCCCATAAATTTGACAACTTAGATTAAATAGACTAATTTCCTGAAAGATATAAATTGTTGAAGCTCACTAAAAAAGAAATAGGTAATCCAGGAATCTATTTTATAAAAAATTGAGTTGTAGTTAAAAACCCACCAACAAAGAAAACTACAAATCCAGATGGCATCGTTGGTAAATTCTAACAAACATTTAAAGAAGCAATAACACCAATTCTACACAATCTCTTCCCAAAAATCGAAGTGGGGGGATCACTTTCCAACCATTACATGAGGCCAGCATTATTTTGATATCAAAGCCAGGCAAAGACATATGAGAAAAGAAGGCTGGGCTGGGTGCGGTGGCTCACACCTGTAATCCCAGCACTTTGGGAGGCCGAGGCGGGTGGATCACGAAGTCAGGATATCGAGACCATCCTGGCTAACACAGTGAAATCCCATCTCTACTAAAAATACAAAAAATTAGCCGGGCGTGGTGGTGGGTGTCTACAGTGACTCAGGAAGCTGAGGCAGGAGAATAGCGTGAACCCGGGAGGCGGAGCTTGCAGTGAGCCGAGATTGCGCCACCGCACTCCAGCCTGGGCCACAGAGCAAGACTCCGTCTCAAAAAAAAAAAAAAAAAAAGAAAGAAAGAAAGCTGTAGACCATTATCTCTCATGAACATATACGTAAAAATCAAGTAAGAAAGCTGTAGACCAATATCTCTCATGAACATAGACGTAAGAATCAAGTAAGGATTATCCTTAGAATACAGGCTGGTTCGACATCTTAAAAATCAATGTAATTTGCTATATCAACAGAGTAAAGAAAAAAAACTATATTACAATCTCAATAAATCCTGAAAATTATTTGATAAGTTTCAATATTCATTCCTGGAAAAATAGTCTCAGAAAATTAGGAATAAAAGGGAACTTCCTTAGCATGATAAAGACATTTGCAAAATCTTGATCCATTATGTTTAGTGGCATACAGATTGGAAAGCAAGAAAAAAACTCTCTATATTCATAGATGACATGATTTTATACTTAGAAAATCCTAATAAATCTACAAAAATTACTAGAACTAAAAGGTGAATTTAGTAGGATCATAGGGCCAAGCAAATATATAAAAAATAAATTATGTTTTTATATACTATCAGTGAACAACTAGAAATAAAAATCAAACAAAAACAGTATAATTTACAATAGCATCAAATGACATGAAGTGCTTAGGTATGTATAGGTCTAACAAAAATGTGCAGGCTTTGTATGTGGAAAATTATAAAACAATGTTGACAGAAATCAGATACCTAAATAAATGGAATGGTATATTGTGTTCATGGATAATGTTAAGATATCAATTTTCTCCAAATCAATCCATAGATTGAAAATATTCTCAAGGAGAACACACAATTTTTCTTCTAACATTTATATGGTAAAACAAATGACCTAGAATAGCCAAAACAATTTTGAGAAAGAAGTACAAAGTTGGACAATTTATAGTACCTGATGTTACGACTTAAAATAAAGCTACAATAGTTAAAATAGTGTGGTATATGTGAAATATAGAAAAATAGATCATTGTAACATAATAGAGAGTCTAGAAATAAACCCACATATTTAATTTTTGACAAAGTTGCTAAGGCAATTTCAACAGAAAGATAAGTCTTTTCAACAAATGCCGATAAAACATAAAGCAATTGGACATCCATATGCAAAAAAACAAACAAACCAACATAACAAACATCTACCTGCACTTCGTACCTTGCACAAAATTTAGCTCCCCATGGATCACAGACCTAAATGCAAAACCTAACATTATCAAACTTGTAGAACAGAAGCAGGCAAACTTTTTCTGCAAAGAGCTAGAGAGTAAATATTTTAGTCTTTATGGGCTACATTTATGGTCTCTGTCACATATTCTTTTTTTAACAACCCTCTAAAAGTGTAAAAACCATTCTTAGCATGTCGGCAGCACAAAAAGAGGCCTATAGGTCATATTTAGCCCATGGGAAGTACTTTGTCATCCCTTGTTTTAGATGAAAAAACATAAGAGAAAACTCTGTGATCAGATGTTAGGCAAAAACTTGTTAGAATACCAAAAAGACAATTCATAAAAGAAAAATGGGATATATTGGACTTTATTAAAATTAACTGTATTTTCATATCATATATCTGAAAAAGGACTTATAACCAGATTATATAATGAACTCTCAAAACTCAATAAGGAAACAAACAGCCGAATTTTAAAATATAGTTGGAAAAATGAGCAAACAATTTGAGTAGATACCTCACCAAAGAAGACACCTGAATGGCAAATAAGCACATGTAAAGATGCTGAGTATAATTTATCATCTGGGAAATGCAAGTTAAAACCACATTGAGATACCACTTCATAAATATTAGAATTGGCCTTTTTTCAAAAAGGATAACTGACAAAAACTGCTGCTAAGGATGCAAAGTAACTCGAACTCTCATACATTGCTAGTTAATATGCAAAATGGTGCAGCCACTTTGAAAAACAGTTTGACAATTTCTTATATAGTTAAACATTGTCTTTGCACATGACACAACAATTTTACTCCCATAAAAAATGTGAAGCTTCACATAGAAACCTGTAGAACAGTGTTAACAGCAGCTTAGTGCATAATCACCAATAATTGTAAACACCCCAAATGTACCTCAAATGGCAAAAAGATTAACAAAATGTGCATATTCATCTGATAGACTAATACCCAGCAGCAAAAAGCAACTACTGATACACATAATAACATGGATGAATCTCAAATGCATTGTATTAATTGAAAGAAGACATATTCAAAAGGCTACATACTATTTGATTGCATTTGTATGACATTCTGGGAAAGAAAAATCTGTGAGACATAAAATAGATCAGTGGTTGCCAGGTAATTGGGATGTGGGGATGAGCTGACCACAGCACACAGGGGCTTTTTTGGGTTTACGAAAATGTTCTATGTCTTGATTTTAGTGGTGGTTATATGACTATGTACCTTTGTGAAAACTCATCAAAGTGTACACTAAAAAGGCGGAATTTTAGTACATGTAAAAATTGTTTAAAGTGAGAGTGACAGAGGGACAGTCAGAAGATGGAGAGATGGACAGTGAAGTTTCTAATGTCAAAGAGATGTTTTACTAATGATGGGAGAAGCTTGAACATGTTTATAAGCCATGGCCCTGAGTTAGTAAAAAGGAAAATGTTGAAGGTTATCTATCTTAAAATATAGGTAACTTGAAAATATATTTTAAACTTATGAATATATAACTGTCCACAATGAGTTACAAGTAGAAGGAATATGTGGTTTGTAATCTTTTGTACTTTTTTGTGAAGCTGATTTAAGTATTGAAGTAGTGATCAGCGTATGTTAAAATATAAGGTTGTAACTATTAATGAATTCCCTGTCCTCTGCTCTGGATACTTATGTGTACTTTTCTTGCTGAATGAATGCCCAATTTTTCAAGATTCTTGCTTAATATGATATGGTTCCCAAGGACTGGTGACTCAGGTGTTGCTTTTAATATTTAAACTGTATTTGTTTCTTAAAGGTGATGTTGGACCAAATGGACAACCTGGACCAATGGGACCTCCTGGGCTGCCAGGAATAGGTGTTCAGGGACCACCAGGACCACCAGGGATTCCTGGGCCAATAGGTCAACCTGGTAAGATTAGAGTAAATGTGTATTTTGTAGCACTCATAATATATACATTGGTTAGCTCACCAATAAAGTGAAACCTACAAAACGGTCTTCCAGAAACAGCGCTTAAGAAGCAATGTATCTATGTGTATGATTTTATAAAAGTGGAAAAGTACAGGACACAGCATAAAAGCTACTTTAATCCCTGATGTTTGCCCTCTGAGTTCATCTAAAATTGATGATTTCCAATAATGCAATTGCAGTGTGTTATTATTGATATGTAATTGTTGAGCTAGACATAGTCTTGGAAGCAGAGGCCTAGAAACTTCTTGTGCTGATCATTTCAGATCTGAGTAGCTGTGCAGCATTAATAGACCCTTGTGGAACCTCTTAACATTTCTTAGCACATGAGAACTAGAATTAGAGTTCTGCAAAACTTTCTGTAAAAATATATTTTAGGTGTTCTCATTTTATTTTTTTTCAGTAAGTAAGTTGAGATTTTTTCCCTTTTTGCCCCCAAAATAGCAATCATCTTGCAATTCATCAGCACTCCAAATCTTTACTTTTAATATTTTATATTGGATACCCAAAATGGTCCTTTGTCAACACGTAATCTAATGGGTTTGCCTCTATAGATAGGAAATTATATGGTTCCTCTAAGTTTGTGTGAAAGCATATTGAGTTTCTGGATTCTGAGCTGTCTGGTGACGTGAATTCTCATTATCTTAATCTAGGTAGGTACAGTAAAGGCCACCTTGGGGCCATCATTATGTTATTGCAAAGCACCATAATAATTTATGAAATTAAAACAAATATGAAATATTTAATTATTCCTTAATTCACATGAATACATTTGAAGGCTTAAATACAGAGTTCAGATGTGCATACACTTATTTGAAGCAATGGCTATATATTTCCTGACCTTAAATGACAGTAGATATTTTGTTATTATTCTAAAAATTTAGAAACTCGGGTTAACAATATAAAAAGCCTATAAACGTTACTTTCATTTATGTACTATTTTACAGTTGATTACATGGCACATTATACCCTTTTATGTTCCCTGACATGTCACTACTGATTTAAAACTAACAAAACTTAGAGTGTTGCTTTGAACCAGGCTGTTACAAAATAGCTGCTTTATCAGTTATGGAAAAAACATTCTGTCCAACTAGCATAGCAGAGGGATCTTCAGGAAAAAGCACTTATTTTTAGGTTTGGCTACTAAAGGTTTGACCTGCTGTTTTTTGTTTGTTTGTTTGTTTGTTTGTTTGTTTTCTTTTGAGACAGAGTTTCACTCTTGTTGCCCAGGCTGGAGTGCAATGGTGCGATCTCAGCTCACTACAACCTCCACCTCCCGGGCTCAAACGATTCTCCTGACTCAGCCTCCCGAGTAGCCAGGATTACATGCATGCACCACCACGCCCGACTAATTTTTGTATTTTTAGTAGAGACAGGATTTCACCATGTTGACCAGGCTGGTCTCGAACACCTGATCTCGGGTGATTTGCCCATCTCGGCCTCCCAAAGTGCTGGGATTACAAGTGTGAGCCACTGCGCCCAGCCCCTGCTGTTTCACAGAGGTGGATAAAATGAACTTATCACTTCTAATATGGTGTTTTGTCATTTGTTTCAGTTCCAAAAAGTGCATGAGCCTTTAGAAGCATTTTGAATTCTTAAGTCACAGCTGAGTGAGAATAAAAAGAGGAACACCATTAATATGAATCTAAACAAAATACAAATATGTTAACATGTGTCACACTTTTTCAGATTTACCAGATACTCTGTAATGTTTTATTAATCTAATGTTCTCTCTCTATCCCTCTGTTATATCATATATCTGACAAAGGACTTATAACCAGATATAAATATAATATATAGATAAATATAATATAGATATAAATATGAATATAGATATAAATATAATATAGATATAGATATATTGATTTGTAAAGTATAAATAGGATGGGCAGGAAGAAAAGTAATAATGCTGAATTTAACTTCATTTATTTGTGAATATATGTATAGCCATAGAATTAAAGATATTAATATGGTTCAACAAATAAATGAAATTAACAGGAACTAGCATGAAAATTTATTGAATTCACTCTTAATATAGAAATGTTCTCAAATCACAGTACTTTTCATTTTACTATGAGATGGACCACATTTCATATTTATACAAGGCACATATACTCACTTTTTAAGTAAATTTTACTTATATCACCAAAGTAGAATATTGTCTTAGTTCATTTTTAAAAATCCTGATTTATGTCCATAAATCTCAATAATAAGGTAATCAGAAAGATTATTACTTATACCTTGACAAACCTACTTATGTTTCATAGCTGAAACTCTAACTATCAATGTTTTTGTAATAAGCTTATTTAATATACTTGTATTTCAATTTGCAATAGGAAAAATGCAAAATATTATATACTTTTATCTCTCTATTGTAGAATGTTTGCATTATGCTTTTCAGGCTTTCCTTTGGACTCCAGTTTTCTATTATTTAATTAAGCTTTTACTATTTGCCTTTCTCTTTTCCAAACCAGGCTATACAATTTAACACGTTTATAAGTTAAGGTCCCCTTGAATATCAATTTTGCATTCCATAGCAGGGAAATAAAAGAAAAATTGCCAAAGGACTGGAAACAAAATATTTTTCATCTCATGACCTACTAACCCAGGCTGAAATGGAGGTTGTTGATTCTTGCTATTTTCTTTGGCCATTACCTACACAATTACTGTCTTACTGAATTTTTTTAGAGATCGGTTAAATATACTCTATTTCATGTTCACAGATCATATCATAACCAGAATCAAACATGTTATAGTGCCTGTCCAGTCTCAGGACAAAGCGTATGGCTAAATCAGCTAAGGAGGAAAAAAAAAATTCATCACCACTAATGTGAATCAAAACAACAACAGCAAAACCCTAGGCATTGTTTATGAATTATTCATGTCATTTTCATAGATGAAGGAGAAAATAGTTTTCTAACACTTTAAGAGGCTACAAAACCCTTGGGTAGGGGGAGGGAGTGTGTATGTGTATGTATGGAAAGTTCTCACGCATAATACGTGTTTTTGAAATTTTCCTTTTTTAATAAACTGGTTCCATTTGGCTGCCAATAAATTTAGAACATCAATATATCCCTATATCACATCTGTAGACATATCCATATAATTCTTGTTATTATGGGGAAATTTAGCAGAACTTGGGGATTTATATTGACTTCTTCATCCTGCATCTTACCAGGATGTGTATTCCTGACAGTATTCATGGAAAAATCCATGCTATGGAAGGAAGTATAGTATAATGTCTGCTATTACTACTACTAATGATAACGATGAAGAAAGAAATCCTTGCCTAGTGCATGCAAGCTGTTTTTCCATAATCATAGGCTAGTAATTATTGATTTATCTATACCCAACTTGTTGTAGTATAAAATTAAATTAATTTTTAAATTTGAACTAAACTTTAGGAGCTTAAATTCCAAAATGATTATTTAAATCATTAAGTCAGAGATAAACAATTGAAAAGCTGACCTTTACCAAAAGGTAATACTTTTGTGAATGTAAATATTTTATTGGCATTATTGGCAAATACATTTCATTTATAGAATATGCTATATGAACATCTAAGCAAATGCCTAAAATAAGTTTTTTCACTCATTTCTAATATAAGATAACAGTGAATCATGTCTAATAACTTCTGTTTGTAGAGTTTTATGTTCTAATCTTTAAATGCTTAGTTGTTTTTCCCCTAACCTAACGAATCTTTTTGCAACTTACTTCTGCTTGGGGGCTCAACTTGCTGCTGAACTGTAATTCCCTGCCTCTTGAACATCAGGTCTACCAGGTACTGTAGTTCTTCCTCAGAAGCCATATCTTAAAGTAAAGCTTTAAACATGGAAAACAAACATTTGTCCAGATTTAAGTCTTTGGTTTATTTTCCTTATTTTATAGAACTGCTCTCTTGGAGCATGTTTCAAAAGATAAATTATTTATATTGAAAACCCAGCTATTAAAAATCTTTGTGAGCTATAATATAACAATAGATAGTGATCCATATAAAGCTATAATCATGTTCACTGTTAGGCATCATATCATCTTTCACAAATATATCAAATCTCTCATTTTTATAGTCTTTTGCTATAAAATGGCAGCATTGGAACCATCGCTACTTTGCCAACTGAGTGTAATTCTCTAATCTTCAAAGTGGATTTTGTCAGTTTAGGGCCATGCTGAAATATGACATAAAACAGATCTTAAAACCCTAGCATCTTACTCTCTACAAAAATAATCAACAGTGAGTCTTCAACAATAAATTTAGGTCTTATTGTTGAAAGGACACTTGGAGTGATCATCTGGCTCAACCCCTAGTTTCCAGTTGGTTATGGCATAATCCCCATTTAGCAGATGAGGATCAATGTTAAGTGACTCATGTAAGTTGCACAGCTGGTAGGCTTTGGAGTGTGAACTTAATTCTTTTCCCATAAACACATTCTTTTTTAACCACCTTGCTTTTTGGGGAGAATCAACCTTACAGAAACTTACTAAGGTTAAATATTTTTTGCTGTGTCATTTTTTTTTTCTGAGAAACAAAAGATGACAAAAAATACTAATAGTAATGTATTATTAATGTATTTTTAAAACGATGTGCAAAACAAAGGTAAAATATGATTTAAAAGTTCAATTTAAGTGACTTATTCAGTAATCAATAATTTTGGGAGCTCATAGAAATGTGTACTAATAATTTATAATACATTAGAGCAATGCAAATTTAGTAAAAGGCGAAAGATTTATACGATCTGAAGAGAAACCAGAGTATAGCAATGCAAATTTAAGTGTGGTCAATAGACCAGTGTCGTCGAATAACTGTTATCAGTCTGCAATAGGATTAATATAAACGTTGAGAACAAGCATTTAGAAATTTTTATAGCAATTTGATAGTGTAATTGTATCTGTTGAATATAATAACTAAAAAGGTAGGCTTTTATTTTGCATCTTTGGCTTTTTATTTCAGTTTTAGTAATTTTTATTGTATTTTATAAAAATATTAGTCCGTGATTAACTAGGAATTAAGAAAAGATTGGCCTTTCGCCAGAAATAATTTGAGAAGCACTGTCTTAGAGCAATCTGCTTGAAAATCCTAAAGCTTGATTGTTCAGTTATTTTGTGTGCATGATGTCAAAAGTATCTCTAACTCACTCTTAGGTCTGTTATACACAGGGTTCTATCACTTGTTTACTAGAAATGTAACCAGATACATCTTTTAAAACTACTTCAGTACTGATTAATATTGATATTGCATTAACTAGGTTTACATGGAATACCAGGAGAGAAGGGGGATCCAGGACCTCCTGGACTTGATGTTCCAGGACCCCCAGGTGAAAGAGGCAGTCCAGGGATCCCTGGAGCACCTGGTTCTATAGGACCTCCAGGATCACCAGGGCTTCCAGGAAAAGCAGGTGCCTCTGGATTTCCAGGTAATTTGTTTAAAGTTTTCTCTGATTTGGATTAAGGAAATTAAAACTAATACGACTCTGGCAGATAATTCCCATGTTACACTTTTCTAGATTGATGTGATCCCTTAAGGAAGAGTATTAAATATCTATGACTGCAGGAAGCTCACTTTGCTATTTTCACTGCACATTTTCCTCTGTGAGAGTTCCAGTTATAGATTACTGTATAACAAACAACCCCAAAAGTTAATGGTTTTAACCAACCTTTTAATTTTGCTGAAGATTTTGCAGCTCTAGAATTAAGGGATGACTTGATTGGGTCATTTATCTCTAACCCACATGGCCCCAGCTGGAGAGTTTGGGGCTGAAAGGTCTACTTCTAAGATGGCACTTCTCTGACATCTGGGTGTTCATTAGCTCACATGTCATCTCATCATCCATGGTACCTCTTCACATGGCTTAGGCTCCTCACATTATGGTAGTATAAGGCTGGTTGCTCCCCTTCCATGGCAGCTGGCTTCCAACAGAGAGAATTCCACAAGAGAAAGTGAGTGTTTCAGAAACTACAGGTAGAAGCGGCAAGATTTCTTTTCTTTCGCTCTCTCTCTTTCTCCCATTCTTTCTTTTTCTCTTTCTTTCTTTCCTTTCTTTCTCTTTCTTTCTTTCTTCCTTCCTTCTTTCCTTCTCTTTCTTTCTTTCCTTTCTTTCTTTCTTTCTCTTTCTTTCTCTCTCTCTCTCCCTTCACTTCTTTTCTTTCTTTCTTTTTCTTTTTCTTTCTTTCTTTCTCTTTCCTTTCTTTCTTTCTTTCTTTCTTTTTCCTTCCTTTCTTTCTTTTTCTTCCTTTCTTTCTTTCCTTTTTCTCTTTTCTTCTTTCTTTCCTCTCTTTCTTTCTCTCCTTCCTTCCTTCCTTCTTTCTTTTTTTTTTTTTTTGAGACAGGGTCTCACTCTGTCACCCAGACTGGAGTGCAGTGGGACATGATCACATCTCACTGCAGCCTCAAACCCCTGGGCTCAAGCCATCTTCTTGCCTCAGTAGGAAGTAGTCCGAAGTAGCTGGGACTACAGGCACATACCACCACACCCAACTTTTTTTTTTTTTTTTCTTTGTAGTAATGGAGTCTCATTATGTTGCCCAGGCTGCCCTCAAACTCCTGGCCTCGAGCAATCCTCTGAACTCAACCTCCCAAAGTGCTAGGATTATAGGCATGAGCCACCGTGACTGGCCTGCAAGACTTCTTTTAATCTAGGCTTGGGAGTCACACAATGTCATTTAGAAAAGTGTGAGGTACAGAATCAACCCTAGTTCCAAGTGAGGGGTTTATACTAGATTGCATATACTGGGACATATGGTTCACTGGGGAGCCATCTTTAGAGATTAGCTACCAGAGTGAGTCTCCTTATTCATGAGTATCAGCAGTAGTAGGCACGAAGGTCAAAAAGTCTAAAACTTAACAGTGCCTTATCTCCAACCCTCAACAGTTTTCTAGTTGACATCTTAAAACTTACTTTTTATGTTCCCTCAGTCAAAGAAAGGCAAACATTACTTATTGATATTCTTCAAGGTACCAAAGGTGAAATGGGTATGATGGGACCTCCAGGCCCACCAGGACCTTTGGGAATTCCTGGCAGGAGTGGTGTACCTGGTCTTAAAGGTAATAATCAGGGTTTGCTGCCAGATGTATGTGAGAGGGAAAATTAAACATAGCTATATGTCAGTACAGAATATTTTTGTTGACTGTTTTAAAATGATCAATGCTTACTTGTGTTTCTATGTAACATGGCATTTAAATAGGTCTTGTTTTCAATTTGGTTGCATGCTTAGTTTGGATACCATGATACATGGTAAATGCTTAGCTCAAAATAACAAAATATAAGGATTAAACATTAATTTTTGTTGTTGTTGTTGTTGAGATGGAGTCTTGCTCTGTCGCCCAGGCTAGAGTGCAATGGTGTGATCTCAGCTCACTCCAAATTCCACTTCCCAGGTTCACACTATTCTCCTGCCTCAGCCTCCCCAGTAGCTGGGACTACAGGTGCCTGCCACCACGCCCGGCTAATTTTTTTTTTTTTTTTGTATTTTTGATAGAGACGGGTTTTCACTGTGTTAGCAAAGATGGTCTCGATCTCCTGACCTTGTGATCAGCCCTCCTTGGCCTCCCAAAATGCTGGGATTACAGGCATGAGCCACCGTGCCCAGCCAGATTAAGCATTAATTTTTTATATTCAGCCTCTATCGTTGTCAAGGAGTTCCAGAAGGAGGGATTGTTATCTGAGTGTAAAAATGTGTATGCACTCAAGTAATTCATAGAGTACATCCAAGGTGCATAAATATTTTGAGTGGCCAGTGGCCTACTCAACTGCGAAACATATGAATAATCTTTATATGCATTAATCTTGGATGGATAAAATGGATATATTGTGTTTTCACACACATTGATTTTAGGTGATGATGGCTTGCAGGGTCAGCCAGGACTTCCTGGCCCTGCAGGAGAAAAAGGTAGTAAAGGAGAGCCTGGCCTTCCAGGCCCTCCTGGACCAATGGATCCAAATCTTCTGGGCTCAAAAGGAGAGAAGGGGGAACCTGGCTTACCAGGTGAGTGAATGAATTTATTTATGAATATTTTTCCTGGTGTATCTGAAGTTTAATTTTTAAATAGCATGGAAAGTGACTTATAATACAGAATTCACCAACAAAGGCACTTAAATGCATCAAATTTTGGTAATAAATATTAATTTTCACTTCATTGATACTGTTTCACCAATCAACTTTTGTTTGAGTATTTTCTTTGTAGTTTCCCTATCATGAGCTTTACCTAACCACTAGTGAGGTTTTAAAATAGACTTAGGCAGCTAACTACTAGCTTTCTAAAAAGTAATACAGGAAAAGGATATATAGCCACAATCACTTGAAAAACAAATTTCAGTGTTTAGGAAATTTGCTAGTCCTTTCATTTTTTTCTTCTTAAAACCAGATGAGGATGAATGGTACATTGTTGTACCACAGTATTTTGATATCCGTATCATACTTGGCTTTCAAATACAGTTCACTGTTATTCTATGTTGGCAGAATAAACAAGTATTGGACTATGAACAGCCAAGCTCAGCCCTGGGGGAAGTCAGTGAAAGTAGATCTAGGGAACAATTGTGTCCATATAGTTATTTTATTAGAAACAAATACAGTGTAAAATATAATGTGGGGCTTTCAATTTTTGTTTTAAAAAAAATCTTTTCCTTTTTATAGAAGTCGTAAAATATGGATAAGCATAAATCATTATATAAAGCACTTAGCACCCAATCTATATAGAATAGCCTTTCAAGCAATATGGAATGTTAACACTAGCTATATCTGTGTATCTGCAGCTTATAGTAAAGTTTGTGGCTCTTTTTATGTTCTATCCATCAATATTGTCAGTTCATGTGTATGTGTATGTGAGTGTACGCAGATGTTATCAGTTTCCCTATGAGCAGGATTTGTTGGGATTTTTCCTCAAAAAAGAATTAAAAATATTAATGCAGTGTTGTATGTAGTCAAGAAAGAGGCAGGGTCACCTAATTTTTTATGGTTGTTAAAATGAAATGACTTTCTTAGCTTACCCCTTGCAAGGCTTCTTTTCTGTTTCAATTATGCTTCCTGTATAATAGGGGCAGTAAACTATACTTGACCTCTACTATAGGCTTATTAAATATAGTCGGAATCTAAGAGATAACCTAGAGATTATCTGTCCTTATTCCTTATTTCTTCATTTCCATTGTAAGAAAATGAGGCCCAACCTGTTGTTGGGTGGGGGGAGCGGGGAGGGATAGCATTAGGAGATATACCTAATGTAAATGATGAGTTAATGGGTGCAGCACACCAACATGGCACGTGTATACATATGTAACAAACCTGCACGTTGTGCACATGTACCCTAGAACTTAAAGTATAATAAAAAAAAAAAAAAAGAAAGAAAAGAAAAGAAAAGAAAATGAGGCCCAAAATAGGAAAGTTATTTCACTACTGAGTGCTCTGAATTTCTTGATGGTAGGTAACTAAAAAGTGAAGGATTTTAGTGTGAGTCCAGTGCTAATAGCCCATACTATATCATAATATCACCAGTTCCTCTAATTTACTTATAGTTTAACACTTGAGCAGCTTGCTTGGCCAAAGTTATTTCATGGATGAATAATATCATCCTAACTTGCCTCTTCTACTCATTCTTGGAAGGTATACCTGGAGTTTCAGGGCCAAAAGGTTATCAGGGCTTGCCTGGAGACCCAGGGCAACCTGGACTGAGTGGACAACCTGGATTACCAGGACCACCAGGTAAGTGTGATAGGCCATTTGTAGCAATTGCTTAGCTGACACTGAATTCTGGATAAATAATTATGTGTTTGTCATGTTTGAAGATGCTGTGGGTTTGCTCATGGTAATAAGCTTGGGTAGCTACTGAAATATGGAGCTCACTTTTGGCAAAAATATTGCCCTTTGGCTCTAGTTTCAGCAGTCAAGATTTATAGGATATTTTGCCTTGATTATTCAGTTTCTTCTTTTTGTTGCAGCAGGGTATACACAGAATCAGAAGTGTGATCCAAATAAGGTGTTGTGTTTTGTTACATACATTGCAGAATATATAAATGAGACAATTATCTCATGAAGGCCTGAAGAATTCATCTTGTCCTGCTTTTTTTTCTTTTTGCCTTTGGACAAGTCAGTCATTAAACCATGTAAAACAGATGGCTATTGATTCTATTTTTTCCAATTTCTAGGCATGAAAATTTCACAAATTCTCTTGGTAGTCAGTTACAGCATTATTCCTAATAAAACTCTTTCTTGTTTCTTCTTCAGCTACTTTCTTTTAGTTTGTTTCCTAAGGAAATAAAGAGCAACTGGTCCCCATTCTTACAAAGTCCCTTAAGTTCAGTTATTTGCTCTAGACTCCACACCACATGGCCTTGGTATAGTTGGAAAGAGAAACTCCCTTCCTATCTCTCCCTCACATCTTCTGCATTCTCTTTACCAAGTTGGAAGTCATTGTAAAGGAAAAAAATAAAATAAAGAAGGTTTAAGGCAATACTGTGGTCCTAGGAAAAAACCTAGATGACATCACAGAGCTCAAGCACTTATGTGCTAGGAAAAATGAACAAACAGAGCAGCCATGCCTGTTCAGGGTCACTACCCAGTATCTGTCCACCATCTCTAATCTCTCCCTGGCCTAATGTACTAAACTATATCATAACAGGTTACCACCTTTTCTCTTCCTGATCTCATATAATCAGGCTTTACATGAGAAGCCCATTTCTGAATCTTTTAAAAACAGACTTATTATATTGGATTTATCTGTGAAAATACATTAAGGGTAGTTGTACACATACAACAAATAGCACTTCAAGTGATTGAAATTGTTTTAGGGAAAGAAACAAGGTGTACTGGTAACTTTTTAATTTTTTTTTAAGTTATGTTAGGACACCTCTATTACCATGGTTATATTGTAATATGTTCCCAAGGAGATGTTTTATGTTGGGTTCTATCTGTGGACCTTAATCATATATTAAAATTTAATCCATCTAATCCCATGTTTGTATTTTAATGACTACCCATTCCGTGAAACCAGACAACCCCAAAATTGCTGCATTGTCTTGATTTTACCAATTTGACTTTTCTAGGTCCCAAAGGTAACCCTGGTCTCCCTGGACAGCCAGGTCTTATAGGACCTCCTGGACTTAAAGGAACCATCGGCGATATGGGTTTTCCAGGTGAGTGATGAAAATCTTCCAAATATTTAGTCCCATTAATGAAAGGTGGTTCAATATCTCTTTTTTTGTCAGAAAAGAGACTGGTGTTGATAGAATCAGACTGAAACAATATCTGAGGTAATCAGTGGGTAGAGCTCTATTGTAACACAAAGATTTAAAGTGGGAATTAAGGGACAAAATTGTAGAAACCTTAAAAGTTAGAATTCACAAACATCTTCTCTCCAGCTATACCCCTTTTTATTTAAACTTCCTTTAAAAGTAGGCTTTCACATAATTCTGTTTGTGAGTCTCATTATTATCTAACTCAGAGTTTGCAGAGCTTTTTAAAAATCTTTTTGCTTGGTCATATGCATCTTAGATAAGCCACAAGTAAAGCATATTTTATAAAATATTATATATTATCTATTTTCAACAGGACCTCAGGGTGTGGAAGGGCCTCCTGGACCTCCTGGAGTTCCTGGACAGCCTGGCTCCCCAGGATTACCTGGACAGAAAGGAGACAAAGGTGATCCTGGTATTTCAAGCATTGGTCTTCCAGGTCTTCCTGGTCCAAAGGTAATCTTTGGCATATACTTTAGGCATATACTTGAGCAGATATGAAATTTTTTAATACTATACTCATTCCTAAGTTTTCATTAAACAAACTATAGAATGCCATATTATATTCTGGATAAGAGATTTATTCCTTTTCTTTTCTCTTAGTTGATAAGAAGATATGTTTTAGGGTTTGTGGCCAGTCCAAAGGAAAAACTTTCTGGTTTCTTTGTTTTTCTTTTATATTAATTTCTGGGTATACTTCAATAATCTCAATGCCTAGTTTTGTCTGATCTTGTTAGTCCATCCCTTTTTAGTGATGGAGTTGTTGGCCTTTGTCCCAATATTATTAACTAATTTGAAAAGACTTATAAACAAAGTGACAGTTAATGATAATGTAGTAGTATTCTTAACTGCATGTCTGAGATAGTCCTTTGAATACAGTTTTACAATTCCCTCTGCTTCTCTCTTCAATGTGAAAACTTTGGTAGTGTTTCTCAAGTAATCAAATTTAGAATTTGTTTCAGAGTCACTGGACTCAACAGGAATTTATTTGACAATTGTTTAGTTCCATGTCAAAAGGTAGTAACTCCTTAATCATGTAGTCAGACCACAGACCTAAAGAGTATTAGAAAAGGAATTTTGGTACTCAGTTTTCATGGAAATAGTGAAAGTTCCCACTGATATAAGAATTTACTGAATTATATGTAAGATAATTTTTCTTTTAATATTATATAAAAATACTTTATTTTGATCATCTAATTGATCAGTGGTTTATAAAGAAATAATCAAGAGAAGTTTCTACATGTTCATTTCAGTTTAACAATATAAAGTTTCTTGAAGTGAATTTTAATTTTCTCTGTTGTATTTTACCAGTGACATATGAATATATGATTTTACTAAAAATAATATAGACATATTGAGAGTAAGAGTGAAAATCTTCTTCATGCCCCATCCTCTTTTTACCATTCCTTTCCTCATAGAGGCCCACTGTCAATAGTTAATATATAAATTTGAATTCCTTGTTCTATACATTTATATATATGCATATAGAGTTTGAGGTTTTTTCTACACATTGGATATATGTAGAATCATGGTGTGCATGTTATTCTATACCTTGCTTTATCACTTACTCCTTTTTATTTCTTTTTTCAATATATCTTAGACAATTTTCTTTGTCGTTGTGCATTATATCTGTGGACATATATGTAGCTATTTATAATGTATAGTTTCATAAAAGTGAAATTGTTGGATCAAAGGATAAGTGCATTTAAATTTTTGGCTTTTTAAAACATTTATAATAATGTAACATATGAACTTGATTTTAAAATACAATCAGTATGAAAAGTTGTAAAATAAAAAGTCTGCTTTTTACATGTTCACAAACCTCAACTCCCCAGTTCTTCTTCTCCAGGGTAACCACTTTTAGTAGTTTCTCATGCATTCTTTAAGAAAAGTTTTCTAAATGCATTTATATGCATGCATATACAATATTTCATCAATTTTAATACTCATTTTTTACATCCAAAAAATATCTGATGTTGGAATGCATCTTATTATGATGGAAAGCATATTACAATTAAAATTGTAAGTATTTTTTCCAAATTATTGATACATGAAATAACGCTGGACCTTCCAAATGTAGATGTTTTCTCATATATTAATTTATACACACAAAATTATACTTTACATCTGCTCTGTACCTAGCTGTCATCACTTAGTAAATCTTGACAAACTTTCTTTATCTGCCTATAAATGTATGCCTAATTATTTTTCATAATTATACAGTATTTTTCTGGGGGTTCACTATAAATAATTTAACTTATTTTGAATACTAAAATTATTTCTAGGTTCGTGATTACAAAAATATTTTGCACTGAAGATTCTTATCCATATTCTTACATACATATCTTAAGAATTTTTGGTAAATATTATGATACAATAAATTTGAACAGTTGCTAGAACCCAGTATATATGTGCCTTTTCAATATCTATATTTACTGCCAAATTTTCCAATTAAGTAACTCTACACCTTTATACTTTCATGATTAGTATAAGAGATTTTCTCCTCATTCTACAGATACTGGGTGTTACCAACTTAAAATTTTTACCAATCTAATGGGTGAAAAGTAGTGTATCATTATTGTTTGTATTTGAATTTTCCTGATTACAAGTGGGGTTTCAGATGTTTTTAACTCTTTTGTAAATTGTCTATTTATACTCTTTGCCTCACTTTTTTAGGAGAGGACTTGGTTATGTATTTCCTACTGATTTGTAAAAGTACATTATAAATAGTGAAGTTGCATCCACTGTCTGTTATATTTGTTGCAAATATTTTCTCCCAGTCAGTTGTTTGTCTTATAGCATGTTTACAGTGCATTTCATTATGTAGATGTTTGAAATTTTTATGTAGGCAAATTATGTACTCATTTATTTATTCATTCACAATCTATCTATTGAGTATGTATGATATACCAGGTACTGTTTTAGGTGCCGGAGATACAGCCTGAACAAAACAGACAAACTTTCACTGCCTTCATGGAGCTTATGTTTAGTCAAGGAGTCATACAATAAACAAAATAAATAAGTCTGTATTATGTTAGAACATGATAAATCTCATGATGAAAAGTAAAGCAAGACTTGATGATAGGAATTTCTGGAAATTGTTGTATTTTGAAATAGGTTACTAAGGGAAGATCTCTCTGATAAGATAGAGCAGTGACCTCACTGCAGTAAGAGACTAAGTCATACAAAAACCCTGAGGTGTGAGCATACCTGATATGTTTGAGAAACATAAATGAGGCCATTGTGTTAAACAGAATGAGTGAGGTGAAACTAAGCAGGAGATGAGATTAGATTGGTAATAGGGGAAAGATTATCTAGTGTCATATAGGTCATCATAGTAGGGGCTTTTTACTCCTGAGTGAATTGGGGAGCAAATGGAAAGAGTTAACATGATTGTACATTAATTTTAAGAACTATCACAACACTTGTTTTGGAAAGAGATCGTAGAGGAGCAAGGATGAAAGCAGGGAAACCAGTTATGATGCTATTTAAATAATGCAGGCTAACAATGTTGATGGCTTAGATCAAGATAGTGGCAGGGGAATTGATAAGAAATGGACAGATTCTGAATATATTATATATGTCAAGCCAGGAAGATTTGTGTATTGAATATGAGAGAGAGGAATCAAGAATGACTCCAGTTTTTGTCCTGAGGAAATAGAATGCAGTTGCTATGTACTAAAATAGAAAAACTTTGAAAAAAGCGGGTTTAGTGAGAAAGATCAGGAGCATAGTTTTTATTTTATTTTAATTTATTTATTTATTTACTTATTTATTTTATTATAGTTTAAGTTCTAGGGTTCATGTACACAACGTGCAGGTTTGTTACATAGGTATACATGTGTCATGTTGGTTTGCTGCACCCATTAACTCATCATTTACATTAGGTATTTCTCCTAATGCTACCCCTCCCCTATTCCCCCACCCCAGACAGGCCCCAGTGTGTGATGTTCCCCTTCCTGTGTCCAAGTCTTCTCATTGTTCAATTCCCACCTATGAGTGAGCGCATGTGGTGTTTGGTTTTCTGTCTTTGCGATAGTTTGCTCAGAATGATGGTTTCCAGCTGCATCCATGTCCCTACAAAGGACATGAACTCATCCTTTTTTATGGCTGCATAGTATTGCATGGTGTATATGTGCCATATTTTCTTAATCCAGTCTATCATTGATGGATATTTGGGTTGGTTCCAAGTCTTTGCTATTGTGAATAGTGCCACAATAAACATACGTGTGCATGTGTCTTTATAGCAGCATGATTTATAATCCTTTGGGTATATACCAGGTAATGGGATGGCTGGGTCAAATGGTATTTCTAGTTCTAGATCCTTGAGGAATAGACCAATAATAGGCTCTGACATTAAGTCAATAATTAATAGCCTACCAACCAAAAAAAAGTCCAGGACCAGATGGTTTCACAACCAAATTCTACCAGAAGTACAAACAGGAGCTGGTACCATTCCTTCTGAAACTATTCCAATCAATAGAAAAAGGAGGAATCCTCCCAAACTCATTTTTTGAGGCCAGCATCATCCTGATATAAAAGCCTGGCAGAGACACAACAAACAAAAGAGAATTTTAGACCAATATCCCTGATGAACATCGATGCAAAAATCCTCAGTAAAATACTGGCAAACCGAATCCAGCAACACATCAAAAAGCTTATGCACCAAGATCAAGTTGGCTTCACCCCTGGGATGCAAGGCTGGTTCAACATACGCAAATAAATAAACGTAATCCATCATATAAACAGAACCAAAGACAAAAACCACATGATTATCTTAATAGATGCAGAAGAGGCCTTTGACAACATTCAACAGCCCTTCATGCTAAAAACTGCCAATAAACTAGGAATTGATGGAACGTATCTCAAAATAATAAGAGCTATTTATGACAAATCCAGAGCCAATATCATACTGAATGGGCAAAAACTGTAAGAATTCCCTTTGAAAACTGGCACAAGACAGGGATGCCCTCTCTCACCACTCCTATTCCACATAGTGTTGGAAGTTCTAGCCAGGGCAATTAGGCAAGAGAAAGAAATAAAGGGTATTCAGTTAGGAAAAGAGGAAGTCAAATTGTTCCTGTTTGCAGATGACCTGATTGTTTATTTAGAAAACCCCATCATCTTGGCCCAAAATCTCCTTAATCTGATAAGCAACTTCAGCAAAGTCTCAGGATCATAATTTTCTGATTGTTTGTATTTTGTTGTTGAAACAGGAAATTCATCAATTGAGAGGGAGAGGGAGGAAGAGGTAAGGAAGGTTTGAGGCCTGTCACATAGATTTTAGGATTTTTTGGAAAAAAAAAACTTCTACTTATGAAGACTTCTACATCCTGAGATTAGAAAAATAGATTTATATATTTCTTACAGGATTTTCATGGTTTTATTCTATACATTTGCATTTTAATGCATCTGAATTTTTCTGTGTGTTGTGTCAGGTGAGAAACTAACTTTAT